GCCCAGAAGGGGAGGTTGTGCTGGGATTCAGTGTTATCGGCCTACCTTGCAATGAAGTGTGGCTTGTGTAGCTCAGTGTAACAGTTGGGGTAATTTTATGGACCTCTGTCTTTGAGTGTTACTTGCTCATCACAGGAAGTGATAGAGAGAGAGAGTGTATGTGTGTGTGTGTGTGTGTGCCCGAGAGCCAGGGCGGGGGTGGTAGGGGATAAGTCTCTCTTTGTACATGTATCACTCCCTGTGATTTCAGCCGGGCAAATTATTTCATTTCAGGAGGCTCTGATTCCTTCAGCCAATGTAGTTGCTAACAAGGCCTGCTTTCCAGGGGTGCTGCAGTCACTAAGTTACAGGCTGGGGGGAGGTAAAGCCCCTTCCTCAGAGCACACCGCCCAGTGGGGTGGAGCATTGTCACCGGCTCTTCTCAAACCGGTCCCCTCCTGGGCACCCAGGCCCAGCCCAGCCGGCTGCCACTCCCCCTGATGCCTGCAGCTGTCCCAGCACAATTTCTACACCCAGGTCTGTGTCATCTGTGCTGGCTTCTTAGTTACTGGATTGACAGGAAAACCAGCAAAGGTACAAGAGAGCTGGTCCCAAGGGTGTTTGAGGAACAGGGTGCCGTGGCGTTCACTGGGAAAGGAACGCTGAAGTGCGATTTCTAAGTTACATGTGGAACTGCTCCATATCTTTTGGGGGAATAAAACCATGACCTTTGGGTGCATATTCTCTGCCAGAAAAAAAAAATGCCACACCTTATCAGTTTTCTACAAGCTAATCCCTAACTCTTCAAGGCTGTGAACCCCCACCCCCTTGTTTAGCTGTGGGTCACAAGCTTGTAAGAAACCCCCACCCCCTTGATTAACTGTGGGTCACAAGAGACAGCTAGATGGCTGTCCTACCAGCTTGTAAGAAACCCCTCTAGCTCAGTACTAAAAAGCATTCTACACTGTCCCCGTTTGTCTTGTGACTAAAGTTTTGGGTATTTTCTCCTCTTGTGTCTGACCTTTAAATGTGGGCATCTCCACGAGGGTGTGTCCTGCTCTGGAGAGCACCGTGGCTGTTCAGGCTGTCTGTGGAGTGGACACTGAGGACCCACACTGCTATCCACAGTTGGCAGGATCTATGCCCAGCCCAGTGCCAACCTATGGCTCCAGATCCTACCTGGCCCCTAGAGTGACTAACAAGGTTCAATATTCCCAATACAGAAGAAGCCATGTATTTGTGGGGACAAAAGTGACTTTATTTTAGATGCTAATCTACCATGTGGCTTCTTATGAAAGTTTTGAAATACACAAAAAGCAAGAAACATAAAATCCTTGCAGATGGGAAAAATGAAGCCCTCCCAACGACACCAAGATGCCACAGAGGTTGAAACTTGCCCCAGTGAATCAGAGCAGATGCTGTCCACTGTGTTTCTCAGAAGTGAAATAACACACCATGGCACAGCCTATCTCAAAACTTTCATAGTGACCCAGATATTGCTCGTCATGCAGGGATGTCTATTCTCTATAAATCTCACTGTTCCTGCAAAGCAGCCCTGGACGCTGGTGCAGGAATGAGGCTGCGACACTCCCTGATTCTCTCAGCCACCTGCACACTCTCCCCAGAGCTCGCAGACTTTCCCCCACACATAAGCCTGGGTCTGGGGGCTGCACTGGGGACCTGCCTGTCGACCTCACCTGTCTGTAAGCGCCTCTAGTAAACCACCCTGCACTGACTGGATCTGTCTGTCTCCTGTGGTTTCTCAGCTCCCCGGGCATTTGGGGGCTGCTTTGTGTAGGCAGCCCTTTCATAGAACAGCAGTCGTATAAAATGAGGAGAATGTGTTTCGGAAACAAAGCTCATCAGAACCTGGATTCTGTCTTGGTCAGGTGGGGCTGCATAACAAAGTACCAGAGACTCGGGGTTTATAAACAACGCACACTGTTCCTGGCCGTACTAGGGGCTGAATGTCTGAAATCAAGTGCCACAGTGGCTAGGGCCTGGGAAGGAGCTCTTTCTGGGGGACACGTTGGCTTCTCGTGGTGTCCTCAGAGGGAGGGGCAGGAGCCTGCTCTCAGAGCCCTCTGATAAGAGCACTGTCCGTTATGACCTAGTCGCCTCCCAAAGGCTGTACCTCCTGATACTACCCCATTGGGAGTGAGGATTTCACCTTCAGACCCTGGGCAAGGATGTGACATTCAGCCCTTTGTGTGTCTGCAAAGGAGAAGACAGGAAAGCCCCTGGAGGTGGAAACATTGCTGCTCTGGCACTTTCCGTTCTCTCCTTCCATCCCAAGGTTCAAACCCTCTTAGCCAACTCCAGGTAACTCCATTTGTGTGTGTGTGTGTGTGTGTGTGTGTGTGTGTAGACCAGCAGTTTTCAACCTGTGGGTCACGATCCACAGGAACTATATTAAAGGGTTGTGGCATTAGGAAGGTTGAGAACCACTGATGTAGAAGGTCACACAGGGTCACAGAGGCTTTCCTTGTCCCTCCCAGGCAGTAGGTTTGTAGCGGACAGAGGTGCTAGAGGCACAGCCCTCTGTGGGAACTGGGAGGGTCTGCAGGAGCCTCTCTTCTCCATGTTCTCTTAAAGTCAGAAATAAAGCCAGAGGAAATTGGAATTTTGAGACACAATTATTTCTCTTCCCTTGCCATAATTTGTATCTTTCTTCCCTGAAAGAGCAAAGCATAGCAATATAATTTGCAATTTTCCAGTCTGTAATTACCCTCCACCAACGTGCTGTTGATAGGCAGGATGTTTCTTGAGGTTGTGCTCTGAGTGTTTCTCTTGGATAACAAACATCCTTTGTTAAACATTTTATTCACCCTGCTGAAAATGCTTTTAATCTGGCAACATGTAACCAAGGCTCAGGTGCGCACACTGCCCTGAGTGGAGGGAGTGGAGGGTCCCAGCAGCGAAGGGCAGAGACTCTGTAGATGAGTCTTCACAGTCAGGACTAGAAAAACTGCCCACAGTGAACACCAGATTCCTTCCTCCCTTACCCAGGAGGATTTTCTCTTTCCTTAGAGAATCCCCTTCCTTTCCCACCAGATCAGCCATGCCTTCAAAAAGATTCTTCCCACCTTTGATCCACTGTTTCCAGGTGTGTGAAACTAGGGAGTGCTGTGCCTCTCATGCATTGCGCCATATTGCTGAAAAGTGGCATTTTGAAATTATTTTTTAATAAGTAAAGTCATATTTTTCTCCAATCCATTATAACCAAGCAACTTGCTGCCAGTGAGCAATTTTAAGCCACTGCTACAGAGTTACAGACTCTCCGACCTTACACAGAAAAGTCTGGAACGTGAGGCAGGGGCTGGTTGGGGGTGAACATGGCTGGGAATGTCTGTGTCACTGAAAGTCAGGACCACTGGAAGGCATGTGGCTCAGTGCCCCCCCCCCCCACGCTCTCACCCTGAGTGGTCCTTATGCTGTCCCAGAGCCAAGGGATGGTCTCAGGGGCCTGCCATTCATCCCAGCAGTTAGTCTGACTCTGCTGTCTTCTGACACAGTCCTCACGAGTCCCATGGCTCCCTCTGAGTTATCAGAGAGCCTTTCTTGATGGCTGTGATGGCCACTTTACAGACGTGAACTTGGTTTCAACCTGATGGGTAGCCTTAGGTCAGTCTTGTCTGGGCCCCACCCCCGTGCCCTGCCTTGTCCCAGGTGTGCTGCTCCAGACGACTGTCCATTCAGTGCCTTCCGGGTCCCATCATTCATTCATCCACTCCGCCAATATTCACCAAGTGCCCACTGCATGGCAGGCACTGAGGATGACTCAAATATGATGTTGGCCCTGGAAGAATTCACTTTTTGTGGAAATTACAGAAACAGAAATATTAATTCCCACAGAAACTGTGAAATGCTACACAATTGTTATCCTCATAATACTGCAAAAGGATTGAGAATCCAAAGGTGAAATGACAAAAGATGGGTTCACGTCTGGGGTGAAGTATTCCACATTATCTGGGGCCCCACCAGTGGGACACATGGAGGGTGACTGCTCATTGAGGTCAGAGCCAGCCCAGACCTCTTATTCCACTGCCACCGTCTAGAAAACCTGCTAACAGGTGATGGTGTGAGCAGACCCAGCCCTGAGCGACACAAATAACGTTAAACACATCTGAGAGTCGGAGGTAACTGGTCTCATCTTCACAAATATATGCTAGACACTCGCTCTGAGTCTTTGAAGAAAGGAGCTCACGGGTCCCTCCGCAATGCCCTGGGTGTTTTTTATTTCCATCTGGGCGATGGGAACTCAGGAAGGATAGGAGGATTATCTCCAGAGTTGCCCACAGGGTGGCCCTGGGAGGTGAACCCAGGCTGCTGGCTCCAGAGCCCACAGTCTTAATCCAGCTGTTCCCAACTCCAGCCACCTTCTATCTCATCGACTGCATTTCCTCTTTCCTAGTGCTATCCCTTCTGTGACATCTTCTGGGTGCAAGGAGAGATACCAAGATGTAGAGGAGAGTACTTGGGAAACTAAGGAAAGAGAATCGCTTAAGCCCGAGAGTTTGAGGTTGCTATGAGCTGTGAGCACAGGGTGACATAGTGAGACTTTGTCTCAAAGAAAAAAAAAAAGATATAGAAGAGAGGGTAAAATCAAAGATTCCAGAGTCACACCGGCTCTGTCACTTGCCAGCCTTGGGCCATCATTCCCCTGGTCTAACACCCAAGGGGAAATACAAATGAATGTTGTCACCCCTCACCTGAGCAAGTGTCTGGAGAAAAGTAGATGCCAGCAGGCCCCCCTCCCCTGCATAGTAAGTGTCTGATAGATGTCACATATACAGAATGGAAGACTTCATGCTATAAAGCTCAGCGATCTTTTCCGGGCTTGTAAGCATGTGGCCCATGCTGAGGGCACTGGGTTGCCTCCATCCAGTGAGTTGATATTTGGCCTTCTTGCTCAAAGGCACTTCTGTCTAAGAATTTCCTGTACCCATGTCCCAAGGAAACTAAGCATCCAGCCCAGTCATAAAGGCTTGAGTTTGAACACGCCTGTCCTTACTCACCAGGCCTATAGAGTTGATGAAAGAGCAGCGGAGCAAGCCCGCTGGGAGGAGGCCTCCAAGGAAACCATCAAGCAGACCACGAAGCCCTGCCCTCGGTGCCACGTTCCTGTTGAGAAAAATGGTGAGTCCAGGATGAGCAGAAAACGAGGATGTCTCTTTCGGGAGTGTGTTAGTTGTGCAGCCGTAGCAGTCAGGGACTCTGAGATGAAGTGAGGCAGCCTCTGGGAAGTGCCTGGTATGCAGAGGAAGCCCTTGATATACGATAGCCATTATTGTTATCTTTCATGTTACAGGAAAATAGGGAGTGAGCGCCGTGGCTTCATGTTAGGCAGATGTCAGTTACGTGGCTGGGAAGAGAATAAGTATAAATGAACTTGGGTCAAGGTAGTGGAGGTGGCTGAGGAAAGTGGCTGTGTGGTGGCTGCTGTGTCGTTCCCTCCTCCCCATGACCTTCCCCCAGCCCTGACAGTTGACCAGCAGGTGACCGTGCCATCCCAGCTCTATAATAGAGTCAAGCTCCCACCTGCATATCTACATTCAGAGTAGTCCTGTGGCCACTCTGATTCCTCATGGTGACCCATGGGGAACTGCTGCTGTCCATCCTGGACATGCCATCCACGTAAAGTCCAAACAGCCAGTGCTGGGGAAGCCCTCTCTGTGTGTAGAATATTGTGCGCATGTGATGGAAGCCAGCAGTCACTCCGCAGGGGGTAGGAGTGCCGGGCGCAGCCACTAGGCTTCCCCTCCCTGAGCACCCACCACTCCCTGGCTGGGGTCCGAGGAGAGGGGCCACAGTGCAGCGAAGCCCAGCCAGGCCATGACCAGTATGCTAGTCTCCTTGCTCATGTGTCCTTTTGAGAGTGGTCACTAATATAAACAAAGGCGTCCATCACTCCCCAGGGCAGTAGACGCAGGCTTAGTTCTGTCCATGTCCCCAGCTCCAAATCAGTGGTCACCTGGGAAAGAAAAAAATGTACCATTGAGTCAGTCACTCCTGTGCCTGCTCTAGGGCTCCTAGAAGGTGCGGTGCCCATGTGCACCTGGGAAGACCAGAGGGCATCAGTGGGGTCAAAGGAAAAGGCCTTTCTGGTCTCAGCCCCCACTGCTGGGAACGTGGGCGCGACTGGCGAGCGAGAAGCAGCCCTTACGGGAGTGGGACGGAAAGAGCACAGATAGGAAGAGACTGGTTTCTATTGTCAAAGGTTTTTAATTTTTTGTTTCTTTTGTTTTTAATAATAATCCTCGAAGTTGATGAGGACATTGTGAGTTAGCATAACTTCTCTTGAAACAACTTTGGCGATATATATAAAGACTTTTAGGTGGTTATATTATTTCACCCAATAATTCTGCTTCTGTAAACCTACCCTAAATAAATAACCTGAAAGGCACAATATGCTTACACCCCCCCACACACATTTTAGGAAGAAGGTGCTAATTACAACATGATTCATTTAAAGGAAAACATCAAGTCAACTAACTGCAATGGCTGCAAAAAGAGAAAGATTAGTTTATGCTGTGATGAGCCCAAGACTCTGGATTCCCTCGGCCCGAGTTTGAATCTGGGCTCTGCCACATCCTGTGTGGCCTCTGAGCACCAGTCTCCCGTTTGTGAACGAGGTTTCCAGGAGGGCTTCCTCCCAGGTCGGTGTGAGGATCATAGGAGTCCCTGTGTTAGACGAGTGAGCATTGCCTGGAGGGCTTGATGGCACAGGTGGCCTGCGGTCCCTCCTGACTAGGAAAAGCAGAATTCTAAAACACACAGCACATGGGGTCAGTTATTGAAGTATAAATACGTACATGTGGAGAAAAAAATAAGCGTGCAAAGAATAAGACTGGCAATGTGTTGCCAGGTCACCGTGGGTAGCTCTAGGTATAGTAAGATCAAGGATGACTTTATTGTCTTCTTATGCTTTTCTATAATAAACATGCATGATGTATCACCAGAGACAGAGAATCAATAAAAATCAGGCAGGTCTCTGTCTCCAAGTCTCTGCCGAGGGCCACAGAGAGAGCAAGGGAACTCCTCAGACACCCAGCCAGCAGGTGTCAAGGCGGGAAGGTGGGAAGCTGTACCCGGAGGTGTGCAGGGGCCAGCACCTCTGCAGGCCTCACCATAGCCAGGCTTTGTTTTTGCTAGTTGGAAGGCGAGACGTGGCCAGCATACCTGGACACTGCTTTCTGCTTCTCTGTTTGGTGGCTCCGTCTGGCTGGGTGTTTACTGCCCACACTTGAGATACTTCTCCCAAGTGACACGTTAATGCACTGTCCCTTCTTGTGGCTTTAAATGCTGTCTGTACACTGACAGCTCCAAAATTGCATCCCTCCCCTCCTCTTATCCTGGGTGTCCCGCCCCAAGACCCAGCTGCCTACTTAATGTCTCTGGTTACTGTTTACAGGCAGCTCAGTTTATCAAAGTGGACGTTAGCTGTCCCTGAGGAAGCGAGGGCAGCCCACCCTGGGAAAGCCCCACACCAGAGCCCAGCTGCCCCTCCAGCCTGTCCTCGCCTCACCTTGCACAATCACCCCCCACCCCCGCCGTCACCCCTCTGCCCTGATCTGGCCCAGCACGATCCCCACCTCTCTGTCCAAGTCCTGCTCACTCACTCAGCCACCCGTGGGGGCTGCTCACTTGTCTCCTGCACCTTTGTGACCCGTCCTCAGCACAGAAGGCCGGGGGCATCTTAAAGCGCAGGTCCCTTCTGTCCTTCTGCACTGCCGGCCGCCTGGTTTCAAGTCGAGGTCTCACAACCTCTTCTCTGGATTCAGCACATGTGCCTGAGCTGCTCACAGAGCTCAGGGAAAGGCTTGTGTTCACCAGTTTACTCTGAAGGGGTTTGGGGTTAGGGGTAACATTGCTCAATACTTCTGTATGATGTTTTGGAGAAACTTAAGTGATTTGACAGCATTGCAAGATTGTGTCATATTATTTATATCTTAAGTCTACAGACATTAAGTACGTAGTGAAAATAACATAAGCCTAACTGGAAAGTATTAAGATAAAAGTGTCCTGAGTGTTCTCCTTATTTTCCACACAGCTGTAAATTTCTATGATCTTTAAAACAAACTAAAAGGAAGTAAAGAATGGGGAGGGAATTTTACATATAAGTCAGCTACCCCACAACACATGCCTGCCACCACACAGGCATACAGGTTTTAAATTAGTGGAAGTTCTCCAGCCAGGTTTCTAATAATAAAAGTGAGACAGTGCTGAGGCAATTACTTGGAAAATTTGGGAAGAAAAAATGACTTCCCAAGATAAATGGCAAAACTAAATAATGGAGCACCTTCGCTGCTGTGCGGGACTCAGGCAAAGAAACTGCTTGTGCCAGGATTATCTGGGGGTTGCTCAGAAACCGTTCTCTCTGCACAACTTTACGATCACTCCACTTCCAGGCACAGCTGGTGCCTGAGCCCCCGAATAATTCTAAAGCCCCCAAAGAAGAGATTTCTCCCCCTATGCTGAAGAGAGCCTGATGGGAGAGGAAGAACGTGGGAATCGCATATTCTGGTTACATCTCGGCTTTCACCCTTTAAAAGTGCTTCACCTTAGGGCGGCGCCTGTGGCTCAGTGAGTAGGGCACCGGCCCCATATACTGAGGGTGGTGGGTTCAAGCCCAGCCCCAACCAAACCGCAACAAAAAATAGCCAGGCATTGTGGCCGTGCCTGTAGTCCCAGCTACTTGGGAGGCTGACGCAAGAGAATCGCCTAAGCCCAAGAGCTGGAGGTTGCTGTGAGCTGTGACACCATGGCACACTACGGAGGGCAACAAAGTAAGACTCTGTCTCTTAAAAAAAATAAATAAATAGAGCAGTGCCTGTGGCTCAAAGGAGTAGGGCACCAGCTCCATATGCCAGAGGTGGCGGGTTTAAATCCAGTCCCGGCCAAAAACTGCAAAAATAAATAAATTAATCAATTAATTAAATAAATAATTTAAAAGTGCTCACCTTGAGGGAATTCTGCAGCAGAACAGTACTCTGATGTTGAAGTGCCTTTGAAGAGTAAATGTGATAGCATATTTACAGCACCTCGCATTACTGGTTAATTCCTTTCTGTACTTCTTGTCTTACATAAAATTTTGGATAGAATTAAGGGACATGTTCCCTATTTAAAAGTACCAGGCTGTCCCAATTCCTGTTATGTGAGTCTCACTAAGCCAAATAGCATTACAGAAATAGTAGAAAACAATTATAATACATTGAAATTACATTTAAAATTTTGGTTATGTCATTACCTTGTATTTTTAATATATTTAAAATATGAAATTTAACATATTTAAAATATTTCACATATAAAAATGAGGAATTGACCCCTATCTGTGAAACATGAAGCATTTGTCTCTAAATCCCATTTAGGAGCGTAAACTCAGATTACAAATAAACTGGGCCTGGTGGTACCCACCTGCAATCCTAGCTACTCAGGAGGCTGAGGCAGGAGGACCACTGGAGCCCAGGAGTTTGAATCTGTGGTGAGCTATGATCAGGCCACTGCAGTCTAGTCTGGACAACTTGTCTCTTAAATAAGTAAATAAGTAAATAAAATGTATTCTGGATGAGGATGGTGTGCTCCAATTTCATTCATTTTCTCAACCAACATCCGAACCATAGAGCTCCCTGATTGCTTCCTGATTGCTTCCTGATTCTCCTTCCTCAGGGCCGAGTCTTTTGTGTTGCTTGTTATTATTCACTTACAAAGTCACCTCTAGAATAGTGTTGGTGTGGGAATCCGTGGTTTCAGATGCTGCAAACCCACCGCACCTGTGTCCTTTGTCCCCGCAGGAGGATGCATGCACATGAAGTGTCCGCAGCCCCAGTGCCGGCTCGAGTGGTGCTGGAACTGTGGCTGCGAGTGGAACCGCGTCTGTATGGGGGACCACTGGTTCGACGTGTAGCTGAGCGTGCCCGCGCCGTCCCCCAGAAACACGCACAGCGTCCTGCTGCACATGCTGCTACTTCTTCCAGATACACACACAGTGCACACACTCACACACACAGTGCACACATCCACACACGGTGCACACACTCACACACAGTGCACACACTCACACACATGGTGCACACACCCATACACTTATATACACACAGTGCACACACCCACACACTTATACACACACGTGGTACACACATTCACACACTTATACACACACCCACACATGGTGCACGCACACACACACAGTGCACACACCCACACTTATACACACACGGCACGCACACACTCACACTCACACTTACACACGGTGCACACACTCACACACTTGTACACACACACGGTGCGCGCACACACTTATACACACAGTCGCACTCAATACACTCACACACGGTGCACACTCACTCACATACACTTACACACAGTACACACACTCACACACACACTTACACACATGGTACTCACACACTTATATACATACACTCACACTCCTCAAATTTTCTTTCCAAAATCACAAAAGCAAAATCATAGAAGAAGCTCCTGGGTCCTTTACACTGTGTCCCTAAAAAGCCAGCAGAGCCGACTGTGACACCAGCCAGGAGCCCGTTCAGGCCCCAGGATCACACCAACAGGAGACCCAGACTGTGGGAGCCACGCGTCTCCTCTGCGCTCTCCTTCTCCTGCCTTCCAATCAGGCCGGATCAGAATGTGCAGAGAATGTCTCAGGTTTAATTTCCTACATTTTACCTTCAGTAAACACTGGGATGAAACCACTGGCCAGGGGGGAAATAGTTTGGGGATTCTTGTAAAAGTGGTTCTTTGTAAGATTCTACAATAGATTCTCAATACCATATCCCTGGCTTTAAGAGCCATGTCCTTATTTAAGTTTTCAGATACCACCTGTTCACAATAAACCCCAGGCAACAATCAGCAATATTCGTTTAGCCTCAAGAGTTCTAGCTTTATAAACTGCACTGGTGAAATATCAACCAATTTGTCATCTAAGTGAGAAATTATGGAAGTTAATTTGAATGTTGAATATTTGAATTACAAGGAAGAAATCAAAATGAAATGTACTTTTGTTCCATTTAATTATTTGCAACTTTAGAAAGAAATTGTTTTTCTGAAAATATTACAAAATCTATAATTTGATTTTAAGTGTTCATTTTGCAGCTCGGAGATTTAGCTAATACATTTAGCTCCGCTGTCACTTTAATAGATAAAGTGCCTATAAAGGAGGCAATTTTAGAAATGATTTCATAATGATATTTCATCCTAAGAAAAGCATACACGCATTATTAAATCAGAGTCTTAAGGAGGAGCATGTTTAAGAGGATGAAACCATGCCAGACGTTATCCATCAGATTCTGCACACCTGCTCCAGGGCCCAACCTGCATGTCCCCACAGCCTTGCTCTCCCAGTGGGCTCCTTCCAGGAAAGTCATTTTCTGAGGACAATAAACTCCCTAGAATATTCCTCATGTTAACATGGATTAAATTTGAGTGTTGATCAAATTTTCAACTTTTTTTGAGGCATTCACAACTCATCAAAAAATTAGCACTAGATGTGCAAACCACATCCTCCCCACACTATGTGCAGACACTTGAGAGATGTGGCCTCTGTTGTTTGTTCTAATGAGTTGTCCGACTTCTCATGTGGATGGTGAACTTGGCTGAGGGCATAATGAGTCTCCCCAGCACGAGGAGTCCCCTTTGGGTTTAGCACAGCTGGAAATTACGAAGTCATCATTTGCAGGGGTTTGCAGACATAGCGGCAGAAGTCCTTGCTGGCAGGAAGAGGGCATGAACTCAAAAGTTTTCCAGGTCACACCCCAAAGACATCTGTCCCTCTTTACCTAACTGCTTCAGATAATCTATGTCCTCCAGCCACCCAGGGACAGTCCTTCCCTCTCAGAGACACTGTGCTAGGGAAAAATGGGGCAGCCACCTTAGTGTTCACAGCCTGGGGTGGCTCCCCTGTCATACATGGCTGGGCTGGCTCCCCTGTCAGGAAACACATCTGCTCCAACGTGGCCGCACACTGCCAGCCTGGGTCAGGACCCCCAGAGCTCTCACAGAAATGATGGAGACACGGATGCCGGCGTAGTGTGAGAAAGGTCACCGGCAGGAGCCCGGGCATCCCGGGGTTTGTGTCTTCACTGAGTCTGGATCCAATCAGAGGCTGACACGATCACCTTACCCTGACTCACCGTGACAGATCACACGGCTCCCTGTGACCTGTGGAGCATGCCACATTTCATATCATCTGTAGCTCTTTTTAATGATGTTTTTATTATGGCTACTTCCAAATCTGCCTGATGTGCTGGGTTTGTGATGCCTGAGCGAAGCTTGCTCCCATGAGTTTCAGGAGGTGTCTACTGGCCAGACATCGTCCTTTTTCCTCTTTTGTGTGTGTTTGTGTGTGTGGTTTCTTTATTTCTTTATTTCTTCTTCTCAGAATAGAACTATGTAATTCTTAACATAAGTTAAAGAAAAAACAACCACTGTTCGTGAGCATGAATCACAAACTATTACTTGAACATGATAAGATACAAATATATCAAAGGAATAAAAAGCTTTTGCAGAACAATCTTTATTTTTCTCTGAAATGTGTTAAGAACTACCTGACTAGCATGTCTAAGGTTGTACTCAAGTTGTCAATAAAGGCATCAAAAGTCTTTTGAGTCTGTCTTTGAAGAAGTATTTTCCACGTAAGTGGAGGGTGTGGGAGGGAAACGGAGGCTGCTCCTCTCTGGGCTGCGCTGCTGGCTTGGAAGGATTGCCTGGTGAGGAAATGGCCATTTTTATCGCTATTCTGAGCTCCACGCTAACCCTACTTGTTTTGCTTTGTAAAATTAGAGTAGTTTCTTAATTGCTATCAAAATCTGAAAGAGCCCTAAAAAGCAAACTCTTACTCAAAAATCTAATAGCTACTTTCTGGCCTTACTAGCAAATTTGTCTAGTAAATGATTCAGAGAGAAGTTTGACTTGGGAAAGGCCCTTCATAAGGGTCCCTCCGTCGGGTCATTTTAGAAAATCTCTGTGACTTTGCACTGTGCTGACTGTGGTGAGGTGACACTGTTCATGTCACTGTGAGCCCACATGGGAGGGATCAGGAATGGAAAGTCCCTGGAGCTCCTGTCCATGGATCAGGCAAGCAGCCTTCAAACCCTTAGTTACCCAGAAAATAGTTCCTTAACAGCACGGGAAACTCTCGGAGGAGACACGAAGGTTGTGGGAAGGATGTGCATGGTATTGACAGCAGAGAGGCAGCAGAGGAAGGGGGTGAGCTCCCCGACACCACCACCCACCTGTGTGCCAACTCCAGGGACGGCAGCAGCATCCGCCCAGAGGGCTGCTGTGAGTGGTGAGTGATTCTCACAAAGACCGCAGAGCTCTGCCTGGCTTGTAGGAAGTGCGTCATAACCCTGCAGGGCTGTGAACAAATGAACGAGTCCGCAGAGACCACAGAACAAAGTGACGGAAACAAACTAATGTAAAGGGCGGGCCAGCGCCGGAATGTGTCGATTTCACGATCTCACATTGGAGGCAGGATCCACGTTGGGTTTACATGTGTTAGGTTATCTTCTGGGCAAGTGCAGAAGTTTTCCTATCAAGGAAGTTGCTAGCTGTGTGTATACACAGGCTGTGTCCGGGGTTAAATTGAAAAGTGAATATTGCAAGTGGAAATGAGTAGCCCAAATGTGAAATGCTTATAGGAAAAGAAACAGCAGGCTGTGGGAGAAGGCCAGCCACTTCTGGGTGGTGGACCATCCCACCATCAGCTGCCCTGTCCGGACAGCATGGAGAACACCAAGAAAATCCTATTTCAAGGTAACATGAGCCTACCTTGCACTCACTGTGAATAAGCCGTCCAACACCAAACACTGAAGCCCTATTGCTGCAGTTGGAATAACATGTGGAAAGAGCAAGGGTTATTATCTGAGAAATAGACTTGCCTACACAGGTGAGTGGCCCTGGCCTGGGGGATCTCATCCTGAGCTCTCTGATCCCTCACTGGCCTGGGGGATCTCATCCTGAGCTCTCTGATCCCTCCCTGGCCTGGGGGA